TATATATATATATATACATAGTTAAAAATTAAGTTATTATTTATCTTTTAACTTCTCATTATTTTTACTATTTTTATAATAATTACTTGAATCATAATTATGTTCTCTCTTTCATAATAAACGAGCTGACCTATGAGCCGGCTCAAACTCGTAGAATAAAGCTCATACTCGAATTCAAACTCAATTGATTTATCAAACTCGAGCCAGAGGTGACTCAAGCTCAACTCAACTCATTTACACTCCTACTTATATTTATGACTTAGAGCCAAAAGCCGCCCATCTTCCAATTCTATCTAAATAACAGACCTAGGATAGGAATTAGCCTTCCCCAAGGTTGATACCTGCCCTTCAGAGAATACAATACCTGGGTGGCCCTAATATCAAATAGGATAGATACTTGAAAAAAATTATCCATATATTAATAAAATTAAGTATATAAAGTTAGGTATTTGTTTAGAGCATCTCCAACCGAACGCCAAACGTGCTCATGGCGTCGTAGCGTCGTTTGGTCGCTCCAGCCCAACGCCAAATCTTCCGCCATTTACTTGCGGGTGAACAGTGCGACGCCAATATTGGTGTTACACTATTCACCTACGTTATTTTGCTATCTCAACCGGAAAAACACGGGAAAGGGAGAATGATCGTTATCGCGAAGTACTTAAAATGCAATTCGATTGGAGCAGCACCACGGCATTTTTGAGTTTTGCTGTATTTTACCGTGAAAAATGGAGTTTTCCGTTGGAGATGTAGCAACAACATATTTATATGTGAATGATTTAGGCTTTATTTGGGACAGCAATTTTCTAGTAAAAAATTTTATGAACTCTAATTTTTTTACTATAAAGCTACTTAAGAAAAATGAAACCTTAGCTTAACTTTTCATGCCAAAATATAATGAAATATTTACAGGATATGATTCCAACCAAAAAGATAACACTGAAGCAAGTTAGTACAAGTTTTCCCTCAAAAGAACAAAAGGAGACTCGTTACCATAAGCCCGTTGATAGAAAAATGAAAATCTTAAGTATATTTCTAAAACTCAGAATGGAAAACGCTGCAGTCTTTTGTCTCAAGGGAAGCACTGAAGGAAAAGAATGTATGTTTCAACTGAAAAAGACATTTGGATCTTCTTCATCTGAATCAAACTCGACCTAGAAATTAAAAAAAAAAAAAAAAAAAAATTGCAGCTTTAGAAACTGACAAACACAATTGATGAATCAGGGATCAAGTTGAAAAGTTTATGGCAGAGAAGAAATAACTGTATTAAAAGAAAGCAGATTATTGCTTCATTTGAAGCAATTTTCTTATTGTATTTTAAAGAAGCTTTTGTATTAAAAATTTACTTTAAGAAATAGTAGAGAAGCCGTCCCTAACAAAGCATATATCTCAAAATAGTTTCCTGCCACAAGAAAGGATGAGTATCTTGATATGAACTTCCAACTGCAAGAATTTCAGGATGTAGAGACAAACTTACTTTTAGTCGCTTGTGATTGGTTTATTTCAACAAAAAATGGAGACAAATGAAAATTTTTACTCCCACTTACTAAACACTTCAGTGATGCAAGAATTTTACCCACTATATTACATGAAATTATTCTCTGAGGATATGGACACTATCCAGAGACGAATCAGAACGTGCCACATCACTCATTTGTACCAAGTGATGTGGCACATTCTGATTCACCTCCGGACGGTCCGGTGCCCGCACAGAATAATTTCTCCTGCATTACAGTTGAAAACCAAAAGGTGTGACAGATGTTTAAAAAGTTGTGCAATCATTCATAGTTTTCCCTCATATGATTAGCCAGGTACAATAACACAATTACTTCAAGGCAAAAAAATAATCATTAAAATGATTGGCATCATTTAACCACGCATTAAGTAAATATGCCCGTAACAAATATTTTCTATGTTTTTTTTCTCCATTTCTCGTTCAATCTAAAGTTTGCATTTGCACAAGCAAAAAAGTGAAAAAAGCAACAAAGATGGATTACTTACATTTTCATCTTTGTACCATTTCCCTTGGCCATCACGCTTCCAACCGGCAGCTGTGAATTGGAGTTCCTTCGCCCGTCGCTTTCGAAGCTCCGCATTCTTATCTGAAATCATTTTAGAATCTACTGCAGTAATCCTCTCACTACTGTTCTCATTGTGGTTGAAAGGCACCACAAAGTTTGTTCGTTGAATTGGTTCAGATACATGATCTGAAAGAAGGGTTAATGCAGTAGCTGTGGCTGGATTGCTTCCATCATTTAGATTATAGCCACGGATTCTGTCACAGTGAGTCTCCAGTAGGACCTGCCTTGTTTTCTCAATCAATGGCTTATTTTGAGGCTTATTTTGCACCGCAGAGCCCTTCAATTTACTGGATGGACAAATAGAGCTTGAAATATCGCTTGTATCACCAGATAGAGCAATTCTCTTGTTTATTTCCTCTTTTATTGATAGCTCTTTTTCCTTCAGTTTGGTTTCGGCTGCAATGTGACGGGAGCCCTTAATATGCATCTATAAAATTGCACTTATCAGAAGTGAGAAATGACGCAAAAACGTATTATGACAGGTAAACCTTTATTGATGAATTAGATTTTGTCCTAAGATAAAGCTCATCGTTGAAATAGCGAGAGAGCAATGAGCACTACTATTAGCACCTAAATTAGGCACACTAAAACATGGATGCAAGTAGAAGTATGGTGCATCTTTAAGAAGGTTTGAATCTATGAAGCACCGACACTCCGCTTAAAGAGGGTATGCGCTGTCGGACACGTGACGGACACGGGCACGCGTCGGACATGGCATGGACACGTGTCCAATACGGCATTGGAGTGTCGCAATTTAAAAAATTAAAATTAAAATCGAACACGCGTGTCCGACACGCGTGTATGGTTATTAAATGAGGTATCGCTAGGTACATGCTCGGTACTGCTCCGTACATGCTCGGTACTCCTCCGTACATGCTCGGTACATGCTCAGTACATGCTCGGTACCGCTCAGTACATGCTCGGTACCGCTCAGTACATGCTCGGCACTGCTCAATATATGCTCGGTACCGCTAGGTACATGCTCGGTACTTCTAGGTACATGCTCGGTACTGCTCAGTACCACTAGGTACATGCTCGGTACTGCTAGGTATATGCTCGGTACCACTCGATATCTTCCCATACAAACAACTTACGAACTTTAAAAACAAGCAGAACTTCAAAATTACTCTTACAATAAAATTTTGTTCCGGGGGCGCTACCCCCGGAAACCTCCGCAGGGGGCAACGCCCCCTTGGACCCCCGACAGACCGGCAATTATTGTGGTGGCACCTACAAATGATCTTATTCTAGGGTTGAATACACATCTACTTAAAATTCCTGACAATGAAATAAAATGTGTCTTAAGATTACTACGTCGCAGTTGATTGCTTGTCATTTTTACTATAATGTCACCTTAATTTCTATATATTATATTAAAAAATTATTATGTCGTGTTCACGCCGTACCTGTGTCCTATATTTTTAAAAATTGCCGTGTCCCGTGTTCGTGTCGTGTCGTGTCCGTGTCGCCGTGACCATGTCGGAGCATCATTGGTTTGAATAAGGATAATTTAAAAAGGAAAATATGAAATAATTAAGTTTTTTATTCATTTATTTTCACTGCCATGCATAGATATGTCAAATGAAAATTTGATTTTAAGATAGAGTGTATTATTAGAGATTGGTTCATTAGATTAAAGGTTCTAAAAAGATTCAACTTAGTTGTAAACCAAAAAATTATTCTCCAAGAAATAAAAAATTTTCAATAGATCAATTTATTACATAAAAGGGTCTACGAACTAATGGTTGAAGGAGAAGACTGCTTCTCCAAAGTTACAGATATGAGCAACATATTTTTCATACATCAGTCATCATTCCAAAATAAAAAAATATTCAACATCAACATAATGCCCAAGGTTTTAAAAACCGGACCGGACCGGCCGGTTCAATCGTGACCTAATCAGTCGTCCGATTCGGTTTTCTTACAGAGCTGCCTCTGAATAAAACCACCCAAAAACCGGACAAGCCGCCGGTCGGACTGGTAACCGGAAAACTGTGACCGATTTTAAAGAACCGCCCGATCCAAATAAAGCGCTTTGAGCATGGGTTTTCAATAACAGCATGATTCCTATTCCCCTCTGTCTTCACTTCATTCGCGTGAATAACCGCTTCCAGAGTTCTAGTTACTTCGTCTTCCTCTCGACGGGATCTCTTCGTTCGCGATGTCGACGATGGACATCTCTCTAACGAAATGAAACCAAAATAGCATTCCTCTCTCGCATCGCAATCCCTTCTTCTCTCTTCTTGAAATTTTGGGATGTAAGTTTTTTAAAAACTCTAAATTTTTAGGTTTTGTTTGATAGTTTTTTTTTCTTCTGTATGAGTTCAAGACCAGTGGGATGCTTGTTTGATGAAAAAAATGCAATTTTTTTGCCAAGGATGCAGGCGGTTCCGCGGGATTTGCAATGGAGGAGATGAGGCAAGTGCTCAGGAATCTAAACCGTAGCTTTTTAACAAACCGTTTGGTATTTCTGTAATTTCTTTTTCTCTGCTTAGATATATATATACATGTAACTACAATCTGCAAGTTCGAATACAGTAGTCTCTATTTTTCTCTTTTTCTTCTCTCTTACTCATATCACCACTGCTTCAGCTATTGTCTGTATCAACCTAAGAAGGGTTTTTGTTATGGTAACTTGAAATGGTGAAACTGTTTTAATAATAACTATTTATTTTAAATGCTTGTCTCTATTTGCTAAGTTACAGTTCACTTTGATGCGAGTGTAATGGGGAGGAAGGGGTAATTGTTTGGTTACATATGTTTATTTGCAAATGGTTTAAAATATATTGAAATGAAAATGGAATTTAGAGTGAAGGTGTTAGATGAAAATTTCTCATTCATTTTATAATTTTTAATAATATTATTATTTATTACGTCATCCGGTTTGACCCCGGTTCCACCGATCGGACCGGTCGAGCCATGAACCTCTCCTTCTTCCGGTTTGTTGTCCGGTCCGGTTTCAAAACATTGATAATGCCTTTATCTGACTACGTGGGGTCAGCTACATGAATTCTTTTTCTACATTGTATCCTTTTAAGAGTCAAATTTTCATTTAAATCTAATAAACAAAAGTCATTTTCAATACTTTATAACCAAGTCTTTTTAGATCTATCTCTACCTTTCTTAACATAGGCCAAATCTAATACATCTACTCTCCTAGCTGGGTCATTGTACGACCGACATTTTATTTGACCAAACCATCTAAGAGGACTCTCTCTAATCATATCTATCGCTAAAGCTAATTCAACTTTTCACGTACTCGTTTTGCATTCTATCTCTAAGAGTAAAACCACTCATCCACCTGAGCATCCTCATATCTACATCACTTAACTTATTTTTATGCTTATCTCTTAATTAACAACATTCTGCTCCATAAAGCATTGCAAATCTCACCACCATCTTATAGTATGTTCCCTTAAGTTTAAGAGGTACTTTTCTGTCGCACAACAAGCCCGACACATTCCTCCATTTCAACCATCCAAATTGAATTCTACTAATAACATCCCCGTCTATTTCATTATCACTTTGTACAATAGATTCGATATATCTAAAGCGTGTACTCTTTTTAATGACATGATCGCCCAAAATAACAATCTCCACACTAGATCTATTACTACTAAAATTACACTCCATGTATTTGGTTTTAGATCTTATGACTCTTAAGGATGGCCTCCCTATTTCAAGTTTTTCTTCAATTCCCTCTCTTGTCTTATCAATAAGAAGAATATCATAAGCAACAAGCATACACCAAGGTACATCCTCTTACAAATGTCTAGTGAGAACATCCATGACTAAAGCAGAAAGATATGGGCTTCAAGTGGATCCTTGATATAATCCAACTGAAATAGCAAAATAATTGATCAAATCATCTTGTGTTTGAACAAAGTAATAATTCCTACATACATATCCTTAATGACTTGAATATAAGTATTAAAGATAAGTATTATTAACTACTTTCTTTTTTAGAACTCTCAAGAGCACTTCTATGTGAGCTTTATCAAATGTTTTCTCTAAATCAATAAATATCATATGTAGATCCTCATTCTCTCTATATTTTTCCATCAAACCTCTCAATAAATGTATAACTTCCATAGTAGACCTACCCGATAAGAATCCAAACTGATTTTGAGAAACATTAGTATCACGTCATAATCTATGCTCAATAACTCTTTCTTATAGTTTTAATGTATGACACATTAATTTAATTTCTCTATAATTCGCGCACACTTGTGCATCACCGTTATCCTTAAAAATAGAAACCAACACACACCTTCTCCACTCATCTAGCATCTTTTTTTGTCATCAAAATAATATTAAAAACTTTCGTAAGCCAAGAAATTTCTCATCTCCTAGTCATTTCCACACTTCTATTGGAATATTATCGGGCAACAATTTTTTCACACTTCATTTTCTTTAAAGCATCTCTAATTTCGATTTTACTAATACGATGATAAAAATAAAAATCTCCTATTTTATTTAGAATGCTAAGGTCACTAAAGTCATTCATATTCTCATAATCTTCATTGAGAAGCTTATCGAAATATCGCATCCACCTAAAATATCCTCTAAGGAAATAAAAAATTTTTTACCATAAATAAATGAATATAAACTAAGGACCTATATATATATTCTACGCCCAAACTCTATGGGGAAATTTATTTTCCTTGCCATGCATATATATCAATTGAAAATAATTGGATTTTGAGATGTGTATATTATGGGAGATTGATTCTTTAGATTTAACATTAAAGATTCAACTAAAGTGTACACCAAAAAATCAATAGCAAAAATTGTTCTCCAAGAAAAAAAAAGTTCTCAAAAGATCAATTTATTACGTGAAAAGGTCATGACCCAATGGTTGAAGGAGAAGATTGCTTCTACAAAGTTATGAATATGAGCAACATATTTTTCAATTTATTACTCATCATTACAAAAAAATAATTTATTACCAAAAATAAATAAATATAAACTAATATAAAAGGAGATCTATTATAAAATGTGATCATCAAGAATAACATGATCTAGAAGAATTGAGGTGTGAAAGCTATTTATATTGGATAATGTTTAATTGGTAAAATGTAATGTGTTGTGCTTTGTTATACAAAATAGAATTACTGCTACTGTAAAAAACAATGAGCTGTTCCACAGATACATTCTTCATGATTGTGACTCATGGAGGATATGGACTTGTAGAGTAGAGAGTGCCCTTGAAGGATAGGGTTTCCAAGATATGTATTCAAAAATAACAAAAAACTATCTTTTGATCAAAGAAATGCTCCTAAACAAAAGCCTAACCCCTTATTTAAGGAGAAAAAATAAATAAGTTAGTTAATATAATGCATTGATTGATCCAGTGAATATCACTACCTTGTGTCATCGTTCATCCTATCGTGCACCCTTGTGTGAGTCCCTGCCTCCTCCTGTCTCATTGTGCCCCGCACTCATGACCGACTATCCCCTTTTTAAATATTCTTTTGTTAAAAAAACTCTTGAAAATTCAGCCAATATTATCAGTGTGCATATTAGCCTTCATTATTACAACACCAAAAAATCCATTCAATCAAACATAGATCTCAACACAAGCATTTGAATAAACAAAAATTATCAAATTTTGGGACCATTTTAACTCTCTTTTTAGCAAACTTACACCCGAACTGTAAATCTCAACCAGAAAAATCTAACGAGCCAAAAATTGCCCAATTTATACATCATTAAGAAATTAAATGCTTGAATTGCATTATATGATCACGTGGGATCAATACAAACTGTCCAACGAAGTGTTTTAATTTTTATCAAAATTACTATAATGTTCTTCTCCAAAAATTTATAAATAAATCATATTTCCGCACATTTGAGGTGGTTGAGATGAGGTCATAAGAAGTTTCAAAAGAAGAGATGTCAAACCTTCATCCACCAACATTAATGCTTTCCATTGCCAACAAGGTTGACACCTTCTATGCCTAACAAAGCCAACGATCGCCATCACCATCAAGGCACATCAACTGTCTCCATTAAAACTGATGCCCTTCATTGCTAACAAGGTCTTCACCCCTCATACACACCAACACCATTGCCTAATATCACCAAAAAGCTTTGAAATTTATTGTCGCAAATAAGCATCTATTGTTACCAATAAGGTTGACATCCATTATTAATGCTCATCGTCAACACCAACATCAACATCCATAGACCCTAGCAAGGTTAACATTTGTTGTCGACACTAACCCTAATGCCCGCCTAATGCTCGCCCGTCAATGACATCAATGCAAATGCTCATCATCAGCACAATCACTGATGCATGTTATCTCTCCTAAGTCAATGCTTGCCTTCTTGGCCATTGGCCACCCCTAAAAAGAGAACAACAAAATATCTCGCCAAGCATCGCTTGATGACAGCTCCACTGCCTCAAACCATCTATTATTTCAGCCATAGAAGCCATCTTCTATGGTGCATGCTTCTTCTAAAATGCATCTCTTACATTGTATTAATGTCATCTCCAATTATAAGAAAGGACATCAATTGTAATCTATGAATCATACTAGTGGAATAATTTCAACTATACGAAACCCCATAGTTTTCCCCCTTTCTTCAGTCTTCAACATAAAAAATTACATATCACCTATAAGCTACTTTTGAACCTATTTATATATGTGTGCAGGATTTTCATACAAGTATACAGCACTAAGATGATACACTCTCTCACTATATCATAACGAATGTTCTATGCAAATAAAATAAGATGTGTGGTATAGGCCAGCGACAGACGCTTGCCCAAGACAAAACAAAAAAACAAGGCAAGCATAACTTTCAGCTGAATTAACAAGACCGCTTGCTTAAAGCCATTATGAGGATCAATTTCAAGTTTTAATAACGACAGGAAGAAGAAACGGAATCTTTTTATCCATATAGGAATAACCACGCAAGCCCTAATTACAGCAGAGTAAAGGTCACAATTATCAAGAACAAACCCCACAATCGCATTTAACAGTTCATGGTAAGAGCCACCAGAATCGATCATTGAGCAAAAACTCAGGAATTTGTTTTATGGCAAATACAAATAACGCGATATAAGGATTTTGATTAGGCAGGTCATGAGGTAAAACTAGACTTACAGATAGGATCAGAGGGGAATCAAGGACCGGTTTATGGGGGCATACGAGGCACGCGAATTTGCCATTGGAGAGCTTTTTATAAAAGGAGTCGCCAGTGGAAGACGATGAAGTGGATGAGAGCAGAAGATCATCAAGCCTCCTCTTTCTGTGATGAGCTTCTCGTGCCCAGCTATCACCACCGAAGACGCTCATTAATCCCCTTCTTTTCTCCCGCTTTTCCTCCACTACTCTATATCAGTTGATATCACGCGCGCTTGCAGCCCTCGACCCTAAGCGAGGTATCTTCAATATTTCAACCCTTTCCAACCTATCCGACAAATTTGTGCGGTCACTTTTTTTTTGTATTTATAAATTGTATTAAATATTTTTATATCAATTAATATAATTATCTAGGTATTATTACTTATACCAAATGTAATTATGTTCTAGGAAAATAAATAATTTTTTGCTGAAATGACCGGATATTTTTTTCAAAAATAAGTCAACTCAGAAATAAAGACAGCTTAAATTTTAAAATTTGGAGAGATTTATCCTATTAATTTTATTAGAAACTAGATATTGTCTTGATAATTATTTAATTTTTATTGATTCCAAAGAAATTTGCTTTCCTTAAGGATTTCTCACGCGAATTTAATTTTATTTAACTTAGAATATATTCAACACATATACAAATAAATATTTCGAATATATATATGTATGTGTGTGTGTCCACGCGCGCGTGTCAATTTCGGGACACAGGTTGAATTCGGGTCAAACCCGGAACTGGCCCGACACTATTTATGTTCGGGTCAACCCAACCCATTTTTACAAACGAGTCGATTTTCTAGACCCGAACCCAAACCACTTCGGATTCGGGTCAACCAAATCTGACCCGTTTAGGGTTTAGGGACAACGCGGCAGTCGGGGCAGCATCAGCGACAGCAATGTCGGCGACCGGCGGGGTAGCGACAGCGGTGCCAGAGACACAAGTCACGGACGCGACGCGAAGCACAGAGTCGCGGACTCGACGCACGGAGTCGCGGACTCAACGCACAGAGTCGTGGACGCGACACGTTGCAACGCAGACCACGGGTCAGGCGAAGCAAGTAGGGCCGGCGGGATCGCAAGGCAGGCAGGAAGGGCCGATCAAGACTGATTTCTAGGTTATTTCGAGTCATTCCCAGATCAACCCAAATCCTACCCACAAATATTGACACCCACATATATATATATATATATATATATATATATATCTCTTCTCATCCCTTATACGTTCTCACCTTCTTGTTGATTGATGGCGATTGCGGAGCAGCTCTGAGAAGGCTGGGTGTGACAGGAGTCGAGGTGAGGAAGCCTTCGCAGCTGGAGGCCATTGAAGCCCTCATCATTCCTGGAGGAGAAAGCACCACCATGGCCAAGCTCGCCCACTACCATAATCTCGTTGGTTCTTGTTTCTCCCCCTACTGTTTATTCTATAAATTTTAATAATCTAATGTGAGAGCTACTCCTTAAATTAATGTATTTAATCTTTTTTTTATTATTTTCGGATTTGCTTATTCGTAGATTAAAAAATGATTTATTTTTTTTATTTTTGGATTTTCTTTGATGAGTTGCAATTGCTTTGCACGAAGTGATTCCTCCTCGACCACCGCCGGAACCTCGCCGGACCACCGCAGCAGCTCGCCGGACCATCGTCGGAACCTAGCAGGACCACCGCCGGAACCTCGCCGGACCACCGCCGGAACCTTGCTGGACCACCGCAGGAGCTCGCCGGACCACCGTCGGAGTCTCGTCGGACCATCACCAGAGCTTCGTCACACCACCACCTTAAGACTCGACGTTCTGCTTAAGGCCCGACGTCCTGCTGAAGGCCTGACGTTCTGCTCAAGACCCAACGTTCTGGCCCGACGTTCTGCTGAAGGCCCGGCGTTCTGCTCAAGGCCCAAAGTTTTGCTCAAGGCCCGACGTTCTGCTTAAGGCCAGACTATCAACTAACACCAAATTTCTATCGAACAGTTGCTAGTTGTAATCTAATCGCCCTTGGAGGCGAGTCAACCCTTTGTAATCGACTCAAATTCTAGTGGAATCATTTTTAATTGGGCTAAGTCTCGTGGTTTTTCCCCTTTTAAGGGTTTTCCACGTAAAAAATCTTGTTTTCTCTGTGTGTGTGCTGAATATCCGTGCAAAGCTAATACGTATAGTTAAAACTCTATCACCGTGTATATTCAAACCCACAACAAATTTTAATTTTAAAACTAAATATAAAAATTTTTAATTTAAAATTAGCAGATAAAACGTGCTCATTAGCTCTCAGCCTCTCAACGGATAGATTATTTTGTGCAGAGACAGGACGCAGAACATCATCCAGAGATCAATCAGAATGTGCCATGTTGAAGTGATGCATTATGATTAGTCTCGACATGACGTTCGGAGTTCGCACAAAATAATTTCACCTCTCAACGAGGAACCAAACAAGAGCATCGAGCATCAGTTCACTTCGATGACAGTAAATAACTGTTAACGTAAATCCTGTAGCAAAAAATTCTCAATCAATCAATGGATAACAAACCAATTAAACATTACAATAAAATGGGTATATAAAATTGACACATTGCATAGAACATAGACAACAAATCCTCACTTCAAAAAATCCACACTAATGGCGGTAGATTTTGGCCAAAACTTAGTCATAAAACTTCCGAAAGAGAGAACTACCGAGGACAAGAAGGATCTTAGCTTGATACTTGCTTTACCTTCATGCTGCAAGATTTATAAGAACAATGACAGAAGCCAAGTCTTCAATCAAACGGTTAGTTCTCATGTAGTTTCTCCATTTGAGCAAAGTTGAAATTGATCTAGAGAGTAGAATTCTATGCATTGTAATCATCCAAGCCCAAGTCCCTTAGTGCAGCACTGGCAGCATCCCTGCAGCTGTCGTGGCTTCCCTTAGCTTTCCTAATCAGCTTCTCAATACCAGAGCTAAGAAGAATTATCCTATCAATGAACAATCCAAATCAGGACTCAAATACGGTTTTACAAGACGTATCAAAATTGATTGGTTCATATGGAAAAATAATTCTTAAAATGAAAGAAAAAGGCACCATGCAATTTAAGATTTTTTTTGAAGTGGCTGTAACTGTTCAAAACATAAGTGTAGAGTTGTTGTGGGAATAATATATATATATATATTCTCTTTTTAAAAAGGTCCGATTATAACTTCCTTATCACTATCACATTCTAATATATCTAGCTATTATCTAGTTATTAGAAATAGCTCCTGACCACAGAAATCTCTAAAATAAACAAGAAATATGTAACAAACTGATAGGAAATACTTGAATATTTCAAGTAAATCCTAACAAGATTGATGAAAACAACGAGAAAACTTCACGAATCTAATGAAAAAAAATAGCAAAACAATAGTTTTTATGGTGGAAATTAAACAACGGAAACAAATAAAAAAGATACAATTGATCCTCAATTCGAGAGGAGGATCATTCTCTCACAATCTCTAGACGAATGTAGGGCCCAAGACATCAAAACAAGAACTCCGGAAATCAGCCACCTAAACAAAGCGTAACCCTAACCCTGATTCCTCCCTCATACTTAAAACATACAATTAATCATTAAATATTTTTGAATACCGAATAAAAAAAATACAATTAATCATTAAAGCCAAAAGACAAATTAGCTCTTGTCACCCCCTCTTTTGACTCCAAACATTTGTATTTGAATCTCTAGTGGACCCCACCTCTCTCTCTCTTGCCACCGCCCCTCCTTTTGTACACTTGAACTGGGCCATTAAAAGGGACCGGTTGGAGCTAGGCCGGTTCAGGCTGAACCGGCCTAACACAAAAATACTGATGGCAATTTTCTGAAAAACAAAATTGTAAAAAGCTGCCTTAAACAAACTCTCAATAGTAGTACAAGCACATCTAGAACACTAGCTCAGTAATCAGTATGTAATGATTAAGCTAGTGGCTGTCATACAATAGATAGTAGATACTAAAGGCTTCAGTTGTGTTCAATGTTTTGATTTCCAGGCCTAGGAACAAAATCATGCTAACTTTCAAATACTAAAATCCAACTTCCCATTGAAGCTACCCAACTTAACTTGAAATACCATTGGGCAGATTTCTCAATATACATGTCTCTTATGTTTTCCTATAAAGTTCAGCTAACACGAGGTCCAAGAAGCAAAATGGTAAGATAAAAACACTGTTTGATTCAGCTTCCCTAATGTGCGTTTATGTCATCCGACAAAAATAGCAAAAAAAAAAACTTTTCACCATTTGCTATTTGTGGGCAATTATCTTTCATATTAGAATGCCAGATTTCAATCAGAAATGTCTATTTTTTAATAGATTTGTAAAATGCATGATAACGTGCGTCGCAATGGTAATCAATGTTGCATTGGACCTTATATAAAATTTAAAGCCTAAGTTGCACTCCATTCCAAAAACAATCGCTTTGGAGAGCTTCAGCCATCGCATATATGAATTACAACAACAACAACAACAACACGTGGGGTCGGCTACATGAATCCTTTTTCTCCATTGTGTCCTATTAAAGGTCCAATTTCTCATTTAAATCTAATAAAGAAAGGTCATTCCTAATATTTTCTAACCAAGTCTTTTTAGGTATGTCTTTACCTTTCTTAACATAAGTCAAATCCAATACCTTTACTCTCCTAACCGGGTCATTGGAAGGCTGCCGTTTTATGTGACCAAACCATCTAAGGCGACTCTCTCTAATCTTATCTTCTACTGGAGCTACTCCAACTTTTTCACATATATGCTCATTTCGTATCCTATCTCTAAGGGTAAAGCCACTCATCCACCTGAGCATCCTCATCTCTGCCACACTTAACTTAGTATTATGCTTCTCTTTTAATGGCCAACATTCAGCACCATAAAGCATTGCAAGCCTCACTACCATCTTATAGAATTTACCCTTAAGTTTGAGGGGTACATTTCTATCACATAACAAGCCCAATGCATTCCTCCACTTCAACCATCCAACTTGAATTCTGCTGATAATATCCCCATCTATTTCACCATCACTCTGAACAATAGATCCAAGATATCTAAAACATGTACTCTTATTAATGATTTGATTGCCCAAAGTCACAATCCCCTCACTAGGACTATTACTGCTAAAATTACACTCCATATATTCCGTTTTAGATCTACTCAAGCGAAAACCTTTAGACTATAAAGTTGACCTCCATAATTCAAGTTTACCTTCAACTCCCTCTCTAGTCTTATCAACAAGAAGAATATCATCAGCAAAAAGCATACACCAAGGTACATCCTCTTGCAAATGTCTAGTGAGAACATCCATGACTAAAGCAAAAAGATATGGGCTTAAGGCTGATCCTTGATGTAACCCAACCGAAATAGGGAAATACTTGGTCAAATCACCTTGTGTTTGAACACAAGTAATAGCTCCTGCATACATATCTTTAAAGATTTGAATATAAGCATTATTAACTCCTTTCTTTTCAAGAACTCTCCATAGCACTTCTCTTGGAACTTTATCATATGCTTTTTCTAAATCAATAAAGTTAATATATGAATTACAGAAATAAAATTAATATTAATACCGGTTTTCAGGGTTCCTAGCCACCAGATTGCGGATCATGAAGCAAGATTGCCTTTGCAATTGATGCACAGCAGGGAACCTCTGCATTGCTTGGCTTGCTAAATCCCCTGCCCCTGCTTCTACTGCAAGGGCTGCATTCACTGGAGATCTTAATGATAGCACGGTAATAATTGACATAACCTACAATATGAATTAACTGAGACTTATGAATAAAAGGTTATTGCAATTTTTAAATACCTATACTAGAAGTAAATGCCCAGTAGTATAATAATTATGCCAAGGTACCTCTTGCAAAATAGAAGGGTCCTCAGAAAATCTGGAGCACAATTTCATTAGTATGTCAAGGCCACCTCTCTGTACAATAGCGCCCTTGTTCTCATCACTCCCTGCCAGCTTAAAACAGAAAACAGCTTAAGATAAGTCAATATACTTTTCTATTCAGGGTTCAGTTGGTAATTAGGAACCATGTTTTGAAAAATGATGAAGTTTGTTAAATCTTTCATTTGGTTCGATGTATTTAAACACCAACAATGATTTCAAGCTCCACCAACCACTCTCTTGAAAAGAGCTGGTTTCAATTTAAAACTCATAAGTGAAAGTAAAATCAACATTTTTCTAGTACCTTAGACAACAAAGAACAACAGGCTCTAGAAACGGCTTTATCGCTGGTTTCATTACAGTCATCTATACATTTCAGAATAATATCAATGCCGCCACTTCCAGTTACTGAACGACAAATTTCATCCTGTAGAAAAATAAAATTTTATCATTCTTAAACCATAAATACAAATTGAAGTTCATGCTTAAGAAATGCACTCTTCATATGATAAACATGCGCATATAATATACAGAAACTATATGCTCTGAGACATTCAAATCTCTAGAAAGGCATTTAAATGCCTCATGAGGATACTTCAAGTAAACAAGTGGTACGCAGAAGTTAATCCCACACCCTATCAAGTTCATGGAAGAATGATAAATGAAATTACCGCCTTACAGATATAGATACACAGTTGTGAAGCTTGTTACCATTAGGCTCAAGAACTCTCATAAAAAATTATATATATATAAATAATAAAAAAAAAAAACTCTCCTTATGTAAGGAAGAAAAAAAAGAGCTTGACCATGCAGGTAAACATAGGCACAGGTAGACATAGGCACATCGGAAATACACTTCCTTGAAGAAGCATTATAATTACTCCAGTATTACATAAGTGTATTACGATTTTCTAATATTATCAAAGCAAGAGCACTCAATCATAAGGACACAACTTAAAGAAACAACATAAACATTAAAAAAAAACAATCTTTTGTTCCTCAGGAATGGAGGGCTGGCGCCTGGATGAAGGTATTATGGGCATGGGGCTAATCTCAAGATATTAGCTTAGTGCTGAATAAAAAGAGTATGTTCAAATCTCAAATGAAAATGAATTAAGAGCGAGATTTCTTTGTTTTGTTAGTAAATGACATGAGATAAACCTAATTGAAAAAATAGCAAAAAAAAATTCTGTAACAATTGTAATGCATATCAAGGCCAATTCTGCATCATCACATGGAATTTACAAAAAAAAAATCATTTTCCAAGCATATTTATAGCTTATATTTTTAGTTTAATCTCACCAGACAACTTATTTCTAAAAGCTGATGTATAGAAGAAAAATAATTAATAAAAAAATTTCATCATCAGTTGTAAATGAAATTGAGAATTTAAGTAGTCAATCACAGACGTATTTCATTTTGTGTTAAAGAAGAGCAAGTTGGAACCAAGGACAAGAAAAATTTGTAAAATTTGCAATTCAAGTAAACATCGTTCAACAAACTCACATTGACAGCAACAGCCTTTAGAGCAATGCATGCCGAAACTAAACTACTTGAACTCAGCCCATCATGAAGTGCATCAACAAGAGCATCTGCAATACCAACTTTAGCGAACCTTCTAGCATATCCATAAACCTGTATCCGTGATTTCAATCAAGCAAAAATCCATACAATGATGTGTAATTTTGAATGGAAAAGAAACAAATCAAATTGAACAGTCGGCACTAATATTAAACAATTTGTATAATCATATTAGTAATAAACACGAATGCATAAAAGAAATAACCAAAATGCCTCAAATTACAGGAACCATTATTCAAGCTTCTTCACTAACAAAGGAATTTTGATGTTCACTGACTTCTCTCATCAAAACAAAGGCTCCAACATAGACAAATAAAACATAATTCTTAAATTCTCAACCTGCACAAACAATGCCAAGCGCAAAAATATATGATGGCTTAATTTATTAGTCATAGACATATATCTTATGAGTATAAAGATATTGCCTTAAGATAACGTGGTAAAATTTCTAAGAGAAATTGTTAATATTTCAAGAGAGGTTTTGTTGAGACGGGCAATTTAAATTCTTTAGAGTTTGTATGAGATCATTTTTTTGTTTTTTGTTGTTCTTTTGCTTTTTTTACTTTTGCTTTTAAAAGCATATTTGTTTAATCTATTTTCTTTTCCTTTTTTTGTTAGAACAGCTTTTTTTTTCAAATACTAGATGCAATTTTTAGGGATTTTGAGTGTTCTTAAAAATAACTATCACCATCATTGAACACCACCTCTAGCCACCACCACTGGCCACCACCACTGGCCACCATTGCCAGCCATTTTCGACCACCGCCATCCACCACTATCGGGAACCACTAACTATCACCTCCATTGCCACATAAATCAACTTATCCAAATTTTAATAAAAATAAGAATACGTTTTTGAGATATCAAATATGTTTCAATTCAAATATACATAAACAAAATAAAATACAAAAGCAATCCCAAACTGCCCCTTGGTTGAATAAAACCGAGTATGGAATAAGATTACTAGTTTTATTAAGAAGATTTTCATGAAAGTTCTAGCGGAGTCAAGAAATAGATCATAAACTGATAAGAAGTTTTGATTGAAACATGAGAAAGGTATAAAAGGTCATCAATGAAACATAAATATTCTTTCAAAGGGTGGAAAAAAATTAAATATTATTAAAGTTTATATTGATTATAAAAAGTTGGAATATTGCAAATAGTATAATAAACAAAATAAAATCTACAAGTTTATAGATGATTTAAGGGAATTTTTTTTAAGATGGTTGTGAGACTTGCAATCCTTTATAATGCAAAATGTTGGTCATTAAAAGAGAAGCATAAAATTAAGTGTTGTAGAGATGAGGATGCTCAAGTGGATGAGTGGCTCTACACTTAGAAATAAAATACAAAACCAGTCTATACATGAAAAGGTTGGAGTAGCACTAGTGGCAAATAAGATTAGAGAGTCGCCTTAGATGGTATGGTCACATAAAATGTCGACCTTGCGATGATCCTGTTAAGAGAGTAGATGTATTGAAATTAGTCTATGATAAGAAAGGTAGAGGTAGAGCTAAAAAAAACTTGGCTAGAAAGCATTTAAAATGACCATTTTTTTTATTAAATTTAAATGATAATTTGACTCTTAATATGGCACTATAGAGATAAAGGATTTATGTAGCCGATCCCACATGGTGGGATAAAGATTTGTTGCTATTGTTGTTTTTGTTGTTGTTGCTGCATAAAGAAGGTTGATGAAATTTTAAAAACTAAAGTTTTGTTTATTTGTGACATTTTTTTGCTTGCTTTGCTTCAAGAAGTAGGTAAAATGCTTTTAAAATATGATTAAGTACTATTTGTTGTCTACTTGATGAAAAGTAAAAACTTAAAAATGCTTTCAAAATAGCTACCCCGCAACCAAAACATTTAAGAAGCCCAACAACAGCTTTTTACAACTTTAGTTCATTTAAGAATATAGGAAATGTTCCAGATTGTGTTTACAATACAAGAATAAAACTCATAAGTCATATGATAGGAGAGAGTAATGAACCACAAGCTTACAAAAATTACATTCATTTCAAAGAAAAAATTTGATTTCATACCATAAAAATCTTCTATATAAAAGATTTTTTAGCCAAGACAATTAATAGAAAAGTATACAACAAAAAATAATGTTCATATTATTTGACATATGACTAAGTGCCATAAAATTGAATTGGTACAAAGTACAAACTTAAAGTAGAATGGCGTGTGTGCCAAAGATATATGAAAACAAAGATCTAAGATCTAAGATAATGCAGTGACTAGCAATAAAGTAATTATGGTATGACCAAGAAGTTTTCAATTATAATAGGAATACATCAAAAAATAATATTGAGTCTAATTCTTTTTGTATTGATTGTGGAGATGCTTACAAAGAATAATCATGGTGAGAAGGCCTTGGAATAGCATCTAGCATCTAATAACAATAATTATACAATTAAAAATTACCATGGACAGCTAAATATTAATCAAATTTAAAGGAAATTACTAGCATGTGAAGTGTTTATGAAATGTTAATCAAAATTCAAGTTTTAAAGCATACATTAGTCATCAACAAAGATGGAGTCAAAGATACATATTCAAGGGGAAAAAATCAAACGATGATAAAGAAAATAACCCAAAATGAGAGAAAAAGGGGTTGGGTCAACCCAATTGGCATCGTGCCACTCAGGCATAGCTTCAGGGCTTTATGTCAGATGTAGGTTAGCTGAGCCAAGTGAGTCAACCGCTTGCTAAAATAATTGGGCTGCACCAAGCTCAATCAAGCCACCCTTATTCATTTGAACCAAAATAATAAGAATGAGGCCAACAACGATAGGTATTGCGACGTCTTGCCTGACAAATAATAGGAGAAGTAGGATGGGCTTTTACTACTAGAGCTATAAGAAACTCAAATCCAAGGTTATTTTCTTTATCAAATAACAAAAACTGGATTTATTTATTGATATCTAAGTGTTGCAAGGAAAAAACCTTATCTTCATTACAAAAAACTTGTCACGATACAAGATATAGGAATAGGGTTCAATGCACAAACACTTCTAGAACTTATAATGGCCAAAATCTTCAAGGAACACCTCATGTTTAAGCTTTCTTCTTCATTAAGCCACCGCCATGGCAGGTGAGTTTAAAGCAAAATCTTGCTTACTGCTCACTAAATCATAGATGAAGGAATCATAAGTAGTTGATTGAGGGAAGAGTATTGCTACAACACAATAAGGCATTAAGGCTTTAACAAGAAGATGCTAAGTTTAGGTTATAATATCATGATTGTGTTATCAATTTATTGTTTTAGGTTTTGTAAAAGCTCAACTTTAGTGATAAATATATATATCAAAAAATTTTAGATTATAGTTTGCATTATGTTGTTGTAGTAGGGTTATATGTGTGAATAAAAAATTGTGTAAAACTGAAACCTAACATTCTACTAAGATAGAAGGCAAAAGCCTTATTTTATGATTAATGAAATATGAGGAAATAATATTCTGTAAGCCTCCAAGGATGACCTCCCCCCTTGGATCTCCCCTCTTTTCCTCTCCTTGTGAGTAGAGATGATTGGTAGTTAGGATGAAGATAAAGGTCTATCGTTGTGTGTTGTGGGCTTCCCCCTTCAATATCTTTCATGTTAAGCTTCTTTATCTCTCCTTCCAATCATCTTCATCTTCTTCTCCATCTTCTTCCTTTTATTTCTTTATCACTTAGTATTAAAGCTATTTTAGGTCCATCAGTCAACTTTATTTGTTGAAAAATCTCTTCAAGTTTGCTTTTTAATGACTTTTTATAGTTAGATTTTTTTAAATATCAAATGAATTATATTTTTCTTGAAATTTTATGTGTGATATTACCTCTATGTAAGAATACTCGTTAGAATTTCATGGCATTACGAATTAATTTGTTCCTTTAAAGAAATTTAAAATCTAGCCTTTTAAGTTCTTTCCTGAAGAAGTTTCAACTTTGCATAATCTCGATATTATAATCATAAAGTCCTAGTTTGTGATATGAATTAGGTGAATTAGTGTTTTGTTCTCTATATCCCATATAAATTTTCTCAAGACACCCTCTTTAATTTTCCATCATAGAATTCCCTATTTCCCAAAAATTGAGCCCTAATCGAACCCTAACAATACTCCATCTAAATTACCCCAGTCCGCAAAAAACTTGCTAGCCTAATCCAAACTCACCGCCAAACCAACCCCCTCAACTCACACTTGATTTTTTTATTTCTAATCAAAGAAGTTAAAGCATTGTCAACTCAGTTAAAAATTGGTTTACTCCACTTAAATGATATGTAAAATCAACGTGACCCTTCATATTCCCAAGATTATTTTATTCTTCACAAAATCTCAAACACATTCATTCCCCACACTACTAAGTGCTATGGATGATTCGCTTCATCTTCTTCCATTAATAACACAACTCCCCACTTCCATTAAAGATCAACAACCCCAAAAAACTTTTACAATTCCTCATTTACATTTAATCTTTCACATAATTCCATAAGCTTCACAAATTTTAGCCTTTATTATAACTTTGTATTATTATTATAACTTTGTATTTGACTGACCCTTATCCAACTCCTTTTACATTTTTTTTTTCTTATCTCTTTCTTCATGAATCATCACTCTTATACTTCATATTATCTAAGAAATGCTTCTCATCATCCTAAATCTTAATCATTCAAACTCAAGGAATGGCTATCATTCCTCAAGGATACTCCATGAAAATAATTCATCTTATCATCCTCCAACTTCTTGGAAGTAATGCAAGGATATTCATTTTATTATTTTTTATTATATTAGATTATTCATGAGATTATAGCTGCCAGAATGCATAAGCCAAGGAAAATAATTACTGTTTTTTTATGGAATTAAAATAGTCTCTTTTTAGCATCTTATCTAGGGATCAATTTCTTTATTTTTCTCCTAGTCATGAGATTCTTTATTTTTTTTCTCTTCACCATTACTTCCCTCCCCTCATAGCATTCATTCATCACCTCTTTCTCTTCAAATTTGATTCTTCCTCTACACTATATTCTACCATTTTCAACAATTAACGAACCAAATGTCCAACATGATCTTATCTTTTGCTAACTCATTTGTCATCACACAAGTGGTTCTTCCATATAAAAAGTTGGAAGGAAGAGATTTATACTTGGTAAGTTAGATTGGACAAATATCTAAAGGATAACATCATGCTTTCACGTAAACAGTACTTGTTTGATATAGTCTGCTACGAGACTATAAACCAAAGCTCATATTCATCTATCAGACTAGAAATATCTCATATTCAAGTAAACCTCAAAATATTCTTGCCAGATACACGAGTAGTTCTATCATTTTTTAAAAAAGTTAATTACATGAATAAAAGGCATGTGCCCAAAAATTTAACATGTTAATATTATGGCACATCCAAAACAACTTTGGGAAAATAATTTGTTGTTAGATTAATAGGTAATAGATAAGCATGTACATATAAAAAGAAAAGAAAACATAAATTAAATTTTTAATATAAAGAGGTTGTGCATATTTACATAAACATACTTGAGAAGCCACAACTCGATTATCATCAGGAGTTAAAAGGATGCGAATGGCATCATATAAGCTTTGTGGACAGCTTCTAGTCTGTTCTCTCAAAACCTTTACAAGAAGCTCATCAAGTTTTAGTTCCATAAATGATTCCTTGAGGACTTCATTTGCAGTAGAAGCTGCAGCAATGACAGAAAATCCATTGTCTAGTATGGTAGCATTTTGGAAGCCTTCTTTAAGAATATCCACAACAATTTTAGGACCACCACTTTTGCCAAATGTGTCAGTACTTTGAACATCTGTGGGAAGAAATATGCATACTAAACTATAAAACTCAAGTGGATATTGAAAAAAATATAGTACTGTAAACTTATCAAGGGAAGCGCGACTCTAAATTATAATACTGTCCTGCAAGGTCACATAATGAGCAGATGCATTCAAATGAAATAGCATTACATTCCCAATAAAATGGATGTGTTCCTTCGAAGGAAATCATATTCTTGATATGAAGCAGCAGCACAGTCAAACAAAGAAAAGGACTAATAACAAACACCGAACTACAAAGTATCAGAAATGCAACAAAAACCAACAAAACTACCAATAGGATATAATTCATTAAACAATGTTTGATATTTCTTCTAAACAGACCAAATGTAAGATAAAGGATTCTACCCTGAAGAATAGAACTCAAAACCCTTAAGGCTGTAACCAGAGGCCTCTCCAATCTACCATAAAGTAAGCCGCATAATGAAGTTAGGAGCTCCACCCCGCCATTCTTTCTTGCAATGGCAGCATTTTCCGATCCTTCTACACTGCACAGATCATAAAGCTTGCCAAGCATCCCATCCATTTCCTCCAGATCCGCAATCTCATCAGGCGCAACTGCCATTCTGCCTTCCAATTTTGACAAAAAACTGGTCCTTAGCCCATCCAACAATTTCACGACAGGGTCATCTTTCGCACTAGTTACTCCAGGAACACACTTAACAATCCCTGAATATTTGCAGAAGGAAATGTCATCAAAAACACAAACCATTTGAAATTACTACATTAGTAGGAAAAACCAATACACTTGACAAATGCCAAATCCTTGTCCAGGGAAATTTCCGTAAACAATGAAAAAATAATCAAAATTATCCTTAGATCATCTGTTTGTGGTTAACCACATTACGTGCAATATTTCAACCCAAATACTCAAGAAATTTCTTATACTAAAATTCAGGGCAAATTGCTGGGAAAAAAATAGTTCGGTTTTAGCGACTAGAGATTATCAATAAAACAAAGAAGAATAGGCTGGTAAAGTCGCCTCATACATTGATGTGCAAACTCAAATGGAACTGGTAAAAAGGTTAGAGGGAGTGAGAGAATATCTGCTGACCGGAGAGGTCGACCCCTTGGAGGGTTAGGGTTTGCAGTGTATCTTCGAGAGCCTCATCGGCATCCATACCGAGATCTTCCATGTTCTCAGCCACCATCGCCTCGAACGCTTGCTGGGAGATCGTGCGCTTAGATGAGCCCATCCTGTAACGATTAACATATCGCACTCATACAGCGTAGTTATAAACCCCGAGTCAAAAGACTCAGGTAGGGGAAAATTAGTGGGTTCGGACATCTAACACAGTTTATAGGAATTAGTTCCAGTTATGTTATTCAGTATCGAGCAGAGCTCAATATTGAGTAGCATCGAGCTTGGTACTTAATAGTACTGAGCCACTGTATCGAGTAAGGGGTGATGTGATGCATTTTTTTGGGTTCTGGACAGTGTCCGGTGTCCGAACCCAATAATTTTCCCATGAACATGAGAAATTATTTGGTGCGAAGTCCGGCCTTTCTTGCCTTATATACATTTCATATTATATATAAATCATATTAACAATCATCACATACATCAAATATAATTATCACTATAGCATTTGTTTGCTTGTAATATGACAATTGCATGTTTCACTAAGTCATTAGTAATGCATATTATGTCTTTTATGTCCAATAATGATATATTGATTTCTTATTATTTTATACTCAATATTATCCTAAGAAACGTCGGACTTTCGACGGACCACCAAGTGACGTCAGATTTTCATCCCCGTTTGTCACTAGATTTCAACCATACGATTGACATTTGTAATTTTATCGCACTCAAGGACGAGTCAGCCCACTATAATCCACTCGAATTCTAGTGAAAACATTTTCAACTGGGTCAGACACCGTGATTTTTTCCCCTTTCCAGGTTTTCTAGATAAAAAATATTGTATTCTCTGTGTGTGATTTGGATATCCATACAACTCTAAGACGTATAATTATAACTCTATCGCCGCGTGTATTCTAGCTCGCAAAAGAGCTCAAATTAGACAGGTTTTGTATCATTAGATTTATTTTATTATTGAAATATTTGACTATGAGTTTATTAAATTTTGATCTTTGATGATCTTAAATTTAATTTTAAAAACTTTTAATTCAAATATTATTGGAAAGACACATACGACTAAGATAATTTTAGACTATTTATTAATTCTTCCAAGAAAATGATATCAAATTTTATTTGAATTTGAGGTAAAATTTTCCTAACATTTTTCTAGGAATATAATATTACTCATGGAGTTATCTAAAAAATTTTATAATTGGTATTTTTACATACATAACACTCAAAACACTTCTATTTACATATCTCACACCCAAACTTCACTTTTTATTGTTATACCACCTAAAATCCCTAACACTCACCAAATACAACACTTCGTTTGCTTATGTTAAATGAGCATCTACAAACTGCTTTGCTTTTAGCGACTTTCCCTTGGTTGGTCGGATCTCATTTTTCTCGGCTAGGTATTTTCTTCTCCATTTCAACATCTCTTTTTCCTCTTTGGGACTTTTGCATTTCGCTTGGAATGATTTTTGGCCTCCACTCCTCCATAAGCCGCATAGGTATGTTGTTCTTCTCTATTTCAAAATATATGTTTTATGTTTTCAACAAATATATGAAAGTAGTGTATTCATAGTTTTTCCTGGTTCAAACAGAGAGATTTCTGGTGTATCATTCACTAAATCTGATTTAAATCCATCCCAAACTTATAAGTGGATGAAGAGGTGTGACTGGACAAAAAGTTTTCTGAAACTTAAAACATACCATGATTTCTAACTGGTGAATAAGAAGATTCGGGAACAAGAGGAGGTCATAGCTTGGTATTTCATCAATTACCTTCCAGCTTGCTTAGATGCTTTATATCTATCCAAATGACGACTGTGTTCATCCTCAATAAGAATTGCTCAAACGGTTCAAAAGGCAAAAAATGTCTCCGCATATAGTAAATACTTTTCTTCATATCAAAACAAATAGAATGAACCCAAACATAACTTTTAATCTATTTATAAGACAAGAAAACGTCGCATGCTTAGTTTCACAAAAAAGGGAGCTGTGTTGGTTCGATGGAAGAGAGAGAAGGGGAGTTGCTCACCTGCTCTATTTCGTAAAAAGGGGAGCAACGTTGGTCTGATGGGAAGGAGAGAAGGGGAGAAGCAACGCGAGATATGCTAGGACAGGTTTCCCGCATGCAAAATGTTGCTTTTGCAAACTGGTTTATGACGGAAGAAAACAGAGCGTTGTATTTTGTGAATGTTAGGGCTTTTAAGTGGTATAACAGTAAAAAGTGAAGTTTATATGTGAGATGCGTAAATAAAGGTGTTTTGAATGTTAGTTATCTAAAAATTCCTTTATAATTTTATGGAGGCTCAATTTTTTTTTTTTTTTTTTTTTTGTGATTTCTGAATCAATTAATATTAATTGGCGCATATATCACATAAATTTTATACCGAAGATCAGGCTTTTTGGTTCAGAGACAAATCCTCCAATCAAGTTGAGGTTTAATTTACCCACCACTGTTTGTCTTGGTGGTGAAGAGCCGACTGGGCAAAGCTTAGGTCTCTGGTTCGAATCCCTTGGCAAGCAGTGAAAGCCTTAAGTGTTGGCCCGTGTAAATTGGTGTAGGTCGCATACTAGGTCGACCGGGGTTTACACTAGCCTAAGAACAGTGCTTCCTGGTCTAAAAAAAAAAGTTGAGGTTTAATTTCATGCTGGCGCTTTGTACCTGATCTGGACCACTCCATAAGGACTATCAATCCATAAGCTACATCGTCTAATATACCAAACAGGAAATTTTACCATTAATTGTCATGCACATATCGATACCCTAAGAAAATTGCCACGCGGCGCTCATCGTTTAGTTGGACTGTGTACGAATCTTCATCAATTGTTGCCGCTAGATACATCTTCTTCAGAGACCGCTAGAGACTAAACCACCCCTCGTGCCTTACTCTTCCAGTAAATGCTACCTGCAAACCCCAAACTCCATGGATTTTCATCCTTGAATAAGCTCATTGCCATCAGCGTCGTCTTGGCTTACTCACGACGGAAGCCATGGAACATCACGACGGAGCTGCCGGAAGCATAGACGGGGCCGGACCGACGTTTTGGCTGGCAAACGCAGAACTACTCCTCGCTTCCGGCGACTTCATCGGTGCCAAAACCTTTGCAGAGCGCGCTCTCGAAGCCGATCCCCTCGTTGCCGGAGCTGACAACTTACTGGCAGTCGTCGAAGTCCTTCTCTCCGCCAACCGCTGCCACGTCGACAACGTTAATCAGATCGATTGGTATTCCATACTCCAGATCGAGCCCTCCTCTTCATCGGACCCCGCCGCAGTTCGCCGTCATTTCCGCCGCCTCGCTCTCCTCCTCCGACCCGAACTAAACCAGCTTCCCTTCGCAGGTGACGCCCTAAAGCTCGTTCTGTACGGATGGTCCATTCTCTCTGACCCCGCTAAGAAATCACTTTTCGATTCCGAACGTCGAATCTCTGTGCAGCCGGCGTCCACGAGAGAGCCTGATTTCTGGTCCTCTTGCCCCTTTTGCCACTACGCTCACAACTACAACAGCATCTACGAGGGACGAGATGTTCGGTGCCAGAGCTGCCGGAGATCTTTCCGTGCTGCTGCGTTGCCGGTGTTCTGGACGGCGTGCTCTTTTTGCTTCCACGTTTACGAGTACGATGGCGCCTATGAGGGCCGCACTCTTCGCTGCCAAACTTGTCGTCGGCCGTTTCGAGCAACCTCGCTTCTTTCGGCGCCGCCTATTGTGCCTGGCACCGATATGTACTTTTGCTCGTGGGGATTTTTTCCTCTAGGGTTTGAATCGGAGGATGGAGCACGGAAACATTTCTTTTCCATGGCTCCGGAGAATCATCCGCAGCAGGCTGAGGCTACCAAGGACAGAGATGACGACAGTTTGGTGTCTGGGAAGAGGGGCTTGATGTTGCATAGGCAAGTAATTACGAAGAAAAGAGTTGGATTTACTTCAAGGAGGAGATCTTTAGATTCAGGATTTGGCCCGAGTAGAGCAGGGAGGGAGACTAGGCCAGAGAACATTGACATTAATAAGGAGTGGGAGAGCTGTGGTTGATCTCCATGGTTGCGATTAATTCTTCTCAAGTTTTATTGTGGGAGTTTGGGGAAATGGAGAGTGTTTGGGAAGAAGGTTGGTGATTTATACGGTTTCCAACTGCTAGTTATGTATAGAGATTGATGTATAAGGGCATCTCCAATCGAAAATCTCATTTTTCACTCTAAAATATAGTAAAACTAAAAAATGGAGTGATTCATCTCCAATCGAACTTCATTTTACGCCCTTTGTAGAAGCTAACCGTCTTTCTCTCTTCACGCATTTCTTCGGCAAATCCGGTAGAAACAGAAAAATAATTCAGGTGAACAGTGCAACGTCAATATTGACATCTCACTGTTCACCGCAACCAAATATCGTAAGTTTTATCGTTTGGCTGGAGCTCGCGAGCCCTCGCCATTCATGCATTTGGAGTTCGGTTGGAGAAGGCCTAAGGCAAGTTAAGATTGGTTGCTATGGGGAACTAGAAAAGCCGTGCCTACCTTCTGTAGAGAAATTAACCAAGGATTAGTTTTCATCAGTAAATCTTCCTGCTTCATACTTGCGAATACAAGTTTATTGTTTGGCAGGATTTGTGATAAATCTTTCATTAACTCCTACTCAAATCCTGCTACCAAACAACCACTGATTGCATTTCCTAAACGAAAAGAAAGGAAATTGATTTGAGTAACAAACTTAAAGAAGAATCTCCCCATGAATTACTACAGGATTTTGTTAATCAGAGAAACTGCAATTGGATTTTATGGTTAGATGAGAGCAGATACATCATGTAATAACCATGGTAGGAACTGGCAGGTTCCAAATCCATCCTTTAAAAGGCTCTGTTCCTTAGTGGGGGAGGTGGCTAATAGCAGCATGTAATAGCTTGTAGGATATCCTGAACAAGTGAAAAGAAGATGGATATATTCCATTTCAACCTTCAGAATCATAATTTCAAATCAAATATCCATATTATTGTTATGTTGATTTCAGGTTGTTTGGATAAAACAAACTCAACCTTAATTGTAATCTTATCCACATCGCATATTTAGGCTTCGTTTGGGACTTTTTTTTTTCATGCTTCTTAAAGCTGTTTTCTAGTAAAAAAAATAAAAATTTTGTATTAAAAAATCATTTTAAGTAACAGTAAGAAAGTCTTCCCAAACGAAGCCTTGAATCAAATCCAAGCTCACATGTTTAGAATTGTAGTGTCATGGCATGTATTGACAACCCTACAAGAATCAGACATATTATTCGGGTTATTTGTTGACACATTGAACATGGATTTTTTGAGTTGAATATGTATTGGGTTGGTATATCAGGTCATTAATTGGCACTCCTATAAATTATGACTTAAGCACCAAAAAAACAATTTGAGCACAAATAGAAAGTGCAGGCTGAGCTCAAATTATTTCTTAATTCATATCCAAACCCCTTGATTGTGTGAGAGACAATGGAGAGTTGTGGAGTGTTGGATGAGTAAAGAGGAGTGTAACTCTTACAATGGGAGAGGTGCTATAGATTTTGTGAGAGATTAGAAATGACTTCAAATAATTTTATTAGTATTTGTGGAGTACAAATGATGTCCTTTCTTATGACGGTGGAAGGTGATGATAAAATATAATTGACGTAAAACATATAGAATGTATTTTGTTGTGGAATTTAGGAATGTCTTGTGGCATTAAATTTATTTTCAAGAGATTATCTGTTTGTCTATTTTAGTCATTCTCCCTTGAGATAGGGAGATCATGGATCAAAAAGTCTAACATAAATCTTGATGTCTATCTACTTCTTCATCCGCTATAGCTCCACCTTCGTTTGTTATTCCTTCGGCACCATCATTAGTTCATATTGCTGCTGCTTTATTCTTCTCTTCCTGTCTCCCATCCTATGGTTACACGCTTCAAGATAGGTAATCTTAAAACAAGAAAATTATTTAAACAGTTTCAATCCAATTCAACCACTGTCGACCCTACAAGTTATACTACAATTATACTTCCCTAATGGCATATGGCTATGTTTGAAGAGTTTCAAGCTTTACAAACTCAAGGAACTTGGCAGTTTGTTCAACCACTGTCTAATCAAACTTTTCTCGATTGTAAGTGGCTATTTAAAATAAAACGTCCTGTTGATGGATTCATTGCTCAGTATAAGCTCCACCTTGTTGCTCATGGCCATAAACAATAATTTGACATTGATTTTCATTAAACTTTTAGTTCAGTAGCTAAAATACCGACCATTCATATATTTCTTCTTCTTGCTTTAAAATTTCGGTGATAAATTCGTCAAGTGGATTTATCCAATGCATGTTTTCATGGTGTCATCTTCGAAATAGTATATATGTCTCAACCTCTGGGATTTCAAGATCCATCATATTACAAATATTAATTAATAATTGATTTATAGTAAATATTTGGCTCACTTATGGGTAGTTGAGTAGTTCCACAACAAGCTTAGCTTATAGTTCAAGGGCCATTGAGGTTTCGTTTAAGACCATTTTTTTACTGTTTTATTTTTTATAACTTAATTATCATTTTTATTTGATCATTATTTTTTAACTACTAATAAATTTTTGTATTAAGAAATGATTTTCTACAACAATTAAAAAATAATAATTATTTTCTCTAAAACAACTTTGCAATCATCTTTATAACAAGTTGCAGCCGTTCCAAACGAACTCTAAATCTCTAATTTACAAACACAAGTTAATTTTATAAATAATTATCATTAAAAACTTATAATTAAATGTATTAAAAATTTTATTTATTTACTTACTTTCCCTTGACTCACATGGAATATTTTGTTCATATCATGATAGTAGTCATTGAAGTCTCTAATAAGGGATTCTTCCTCTCGTGGTGGATCGAACCTTTGAGAAATAAGTGCCATCATTATAATGTTTTCGGTAGACATACTTACGGAGCTAGTGGTTGCGGGTGGCTACTGCTTTTCTTTTATTTAAAATATAAAATTTTCATCTTTAAATAATCTTACAATTATGTATATTATAGAAGTTTTGTTTGTCCACTATTTTTTCACAATTTTGTCTGTCCGTACCCTCTAATGTAAAATTCTATTTTTGCCATCACTAGGATGGGGAGTTGCTCCTCTCATCAAGCGCTAAATCTAACTATTTCTACCATAGTTTTTTTGTCTATCCACTATTTTTCACAATTTTTTAATACATTTTGTGCTAAGAAGCTGCTTTGTATAGTAGCTTTTAAAAACTATTTTCTTCACAGCAGCTTTCTTCCTAACAACTTCAAATCTATATTTATAAAAAGCTGTAGCTGTTTCAAATGGACCCAAAATTTTTCTGCGCAAATTAATAAAGCAACTATGATGAATTAAGGGCTTTCTTATGAAGGCTTGGTTGGTAAAAATGCACCAACACTGAATATTCTTCTTTTCAGTTTCTAAATTAAAAAAAAAAGCCTTAAAAAATTATTCTTAAAAAAAAAAAAAAAAAAAAAAAAAAAAAAAAAAAAAACACGTAACAATATGCTGAGACGTAATATTTAACATATTGTATGTAATAGAGATTGTGCAAAAGAATCTAAAAAGCAATAGAACAAAAGAAATTAAGGGTTAATTTGTTTGATTGTATTTAGAATGCCGATAAAAGTAAATATCTGAGGTTTTGAAAATTGTGGTATTTGGATGATAGCATTAAAATGCAATGTATTTGGGGGTGCATTTGGTTCATTTTGATTGTATTTGAAGTTTGATTATTTTGAATGAATTTCAAATACACAATTTAGATAAAAGTGACACCGATTGGTTGTCGCCTCCCCCTCATCGCTGCCCTTTGTCCATTGTTGCCGCCATGGCCTGTTGATGCAATCACTGGTTGTTGTTGGACCCATATATAGCTGCCTGAGGTCATCACAATCGTTCGTCATCGGCCATTGCCACCGCCGTCGCCCATTGTCACTCTCTCCACCCGCCACCTTTGACGACAATTAATCAACTATTATTTCACATGCACTATTATTTTACTTTGTAATTTCCTTATTTTCACCAAGCAAGGAAATATAAAATACTGCATTTATAATGTACTTAAATAATTAAAAAGTATTTTCAATACTCTTTTTTTTTACACTATTCTTTTAAGTGATCTTCATTTATATCTCATAATCAAACAGCCTTAAAAGAACATATGAGAGCACTATACTTATCAGTTATTTTAAAAACATTATCAAGAGAAAATGAAAAAAAATTAGTTGCAAGTAACGGTAAATGTTTGAACTAAAACGCATTTTTAATATCAGTTGTGTAATTATTTTAAGGCCCACATTAAAAAAAATAATAATAAGTTTTAATTTCTTCCAAGGAAATGAGCTATAATTGCAAGTGTACTTCTCATGCTAAAATGTCTCGCCCTTTTTAGGAACAAAGGTTTTGCAATGAAAAAAAAATAAAAATTTTCAATATCATTAAACAAGAATATTAATATAATTTTTTTTTCTCCAATTATAAGTCGTCCTTATTTTTATCATAATAGCACAGGTTTTTAGTGCACCATAAAGTAAATGAGAATGAAGCTGAAATGCCAAAATTATGCTTCACAATAATCTAAAATTAGTCGATCACATTCGTTGAGTAAAATAAGGGGTAAGCTACACAACTCTCCTTGGCCTATTGGTTGAGAGCTTAGGCTTCCAACTAAGAGGTTCAGGGTTCGAGTCTATGTGTATGCGTTGTGTGTGTGAGTTTGCCTTAAATGGCCTAAATGCCCAAAAAAAAAATAAGGGGTAAGCTTGAGTCAGTTCTAGAATGAAATTGATTAATTAATCGAGTTTGAGCTCAAGTTTTATTCTACGAGTTCGAGTTAGCCCACGAACTGACTCGTTAATTATGAAAGAAATAAAATTATTATGATCCAAGCACTTATTATAATAGAATGATAAAAATGATGAGAAATTAAAAATAATAATAAATGATCGTTTATTATTATAATGTAAAGCATAAAATTTAAATATTTTTAACAATTTTGTATTTAAAATTTAAAATTTTAATATATTTTAAGTTCATTTTGCATTAATATCTTTCAAAGGAGCGAAATCGTGAGCTAATAATTCAAGTTAGGGTTGGCTCAAACTTGACTCGTTAACCCCCTATACCCCCAGTAAATACAACAAATTTTGAGATTCGAGATGATAGAATAATCAAATTGATCAACATAATCAAATTCCACACATAACAGAATATAAGTACATATGTTATTGGTGAGACCTGAAAAGGGTGGCAAGAATCGACAATATATTTGCCTATGCATACGAATTTGATTCCTCTCTCTTTATCATCAATTAGTAATTTTGATCATTGAGTGCATTTTGAATAATCATAATTCATTATATAAACTGCTTTGAAATAAATAAAATTTTTGAAAGAGCTAATTAGAAACAATCCAAGCAATCCAAAATGTGTTGAATATATGTAACTCCACATGGGAGTGTAAATGAGTCAAACAGACTGGTGAGCTGTCTTGGGCTCAACTTGATAAATGACTTGTGAGCCGAGCTTACTGAGCTAATAAGCCAAATTTGAGCAACACTGACTCAACTCGTTAACTCGTGATTCAATATTTTAAGTATAAAATTATTATGAAATATTTAAAAATTAGATCTAACTTTCTTATAGAATGTAATTTTTTTTATATTTTATAATTTTTCATTCTTTTTATTTTATTATAATAATTACTTAAGTCTTAATCACTTTCTTTCTTTCATAATAGAAGAGTTAGCTTGTGGGCTCGCTTGAATTAGTAGAATAATGCTCAAACTCGATAAATTAATAGCCAATTTATAAAAAGGTGTTTGTTTTGATATTTAAATTATTTTAAGGATCAGGTTAACAAAAAAATTTACAAAGGAGAAAATACGGAACTTAATTACTTGGTTTCAATAGAAACTGGAACTTCATTATCCGATTTCTATTGAA